GAGTGCTTTTGAGAAAGGACCCTGTGTTACCAAACCATAATAGTGAATTGCTGGAGTGAGGTAAAGGTGACTCTCCTGTGATACATGTCGAATGTACTGTGTACGTTCAAGTGTGCAGGCACCATGTCTTAGATCCTGAAGAAGAAAGAAAAGTGAGGCCCACCTTGCTCTTAGAAGATTTGCAATCATTACTGTATTGAATACAGTATAATGACTACTTTGGCTTCAGTCTTAAACCTGGATACAAATGTCCTTTTCTTTTTCTCCATTTCACCAAGCCTTTACTTAAAATCTTCAGCGTCGCGTCAAATCTAGCTCTGTATCAGTTGCTAGACTATTCTTAACGTTTGACAAGCTGAAGTTTGAACTAAAGGCTCCAAAGGGGAGACTTTCTGGTCTTATTAGTACGTAAGAGGAAAATGCTTAAACTTACTCCACTGGGTAAATTGGTTGACTGAATCAGGAACAGGATCTCCTGCATAGTTTTCAGTAAAGCAAGTGGGGACTAGTGCATATTTCAGACAACTGCCTGTGCAATGAAAAGTAGCTTTTAAAGATTTCTTTGCAGACTGATTTTATTGGATGGATAATGCTGTGAAACATGATAGGATTAACATGATGTTGGTGGATTTCTTGAATAGAATTTGTCTTAACATTCCTCTTTGTGTAGAGGCTTTATTTTCTTTCTTAAATTTGTAGCTAACCAGCTCAGGTTTTTTTGTTTTTTTATTTGTTTTTGTTTTTTTTTTTAGTCGAACTGAGTTGAATCTGGAAAAAATTTGCTCAAGACCATGCTAGAAGACACTGCTAGCTAATGGAGCTGGGAAAGGTCTACTCTGCTAAAAGAGCATCTCCTTGAGGGATCCTAGTTTTGAGGTAGAGGTTATGATCATTCATAGCTTTGTCTGGAAGGAATAAAATTCATGGCCTTAAACACAAAGGGTGCTGTGTAGAACATGAATTGACTTTGGAAACTGAACCTGAGCATCAAACTGAAGGACTAGCAGTCACTTACCTGCCTAGGATACTGATGGTTGTGAAGATTGTTTCAAATGATCGGATCTTTGAAGGCTTCAGTGTGCCTTAGTTTCTAGGATCAGAATTAGTTCTCCTCTCACTTGGCCTCGCAGCTAAAAGGAGAAATCTCTACATTTCTGTGAACACTTGCACATTTCAGTAATTCCTTTCCCAAGTATAACTGTTCAAGGGGGAGCAAATTTGGATGAATTTACAGCTTTGGAGCCATTTTGAGGAAAGAACAATTTCCATGGCTGTTTTAATAACCCCAAGGTGATAAGCAGTAAGCCCTGACATACTTAAGTTCGACAATTTCACATGCACACTTGTACCTCAGTACGTCCCTCTTCAACAATAGTTTGTATCATCCTGTCTTCCCCTCTCCCTCCCACTCCCAGTAATCCTAAGGGAGAATTCATCTAAATAATTTTTAAAAAACTGTAGGAAGGGTGCTCTCCCCGAGAAGCTTTTCCCACATAGCTTTGGTGCTGTTACCTTGAGGTGGTTTAGGTAGTCATGGGAGTTCTATGCTGTGTATAATGACCATCTGAATTTAAAGATCTGTCACTTAAAGCAACATTCCTCAATGTAACATTTGGGAGGGATTCTTCCCTCTTACTAGGTTAAAAGTGTGGTTCGTACCCCTTTGTTTGTCCCATTCATATATGAAAATAGTTTTAAAACTGTCCAGCACTAATGGTTTGAGTATCTCCATCTACTATATAATGTACTTTTTATTTTTATGTCCTTTTAGAAAAGATTGGAAGTTAGAAAACAATTGCTTTTGAGGTTCAACTTAATTATTTTGTGCATTGGAAAAAATATTTGGGCCATGAGAACTAGGGGATAGAAGGAGTTTAAATGTGTATTTTTTTTTTCTAGTGAATGTATTTTAACCACAGTGTCCTAAACTGAGAAAATGAGAGAGCAAAAAGTGGATATTTATGAACTCTGTGGTTTGGGGGGAGGTTGTATGTAATGTTTGTGTATTCATGAATCTGGGAGTGGGGAAGATCATCGGAGAGAGAATTACTCAGAGAGTCCTGAAGTTTAAAACACTTTTGACCAGCTTTGGCTTGGGAGGGTGGGACTGCTTTTCCAATTGGAAGTGAGTATCTTTTTCAAGCAATAGCAGTGAGTGGGTCCCCTTGACAGGTTCCAGGACCTGGACCATGTAAACAGAAATGCTGAAGCAGCTTGCACAGTTGCTTCATAAACTTCCACGAGGCTCATTCTGGCTTGAAGATGGAGCATTGGAGTTTTTTTTTTTTTTTTCTTTCTTTCTTTCTTTCTTTCTTTTTTTTTTTTAAGAACCTACGGTTGCGCTTTGTGTGTCTTGTTTTTGTTTTCTATTTGTGGGCCTCATGAGAAAGAGCTGAATTCTTTCCTTTGAGAATTCCCACTGTGTTCCTGTAGAGTCCCTTTTCTTTCATAATGTTGTAAGTTACATTTTCATTAAGCCCCATCACATCTTTACTGTAAAAATATTAAAAGGCTGTTTCCAAGTGGGACAGCTAATGAAGTTCTAATTATTGCAGACATATTTTTGAGATGTAAAAAAAAATTTAAAATTAAATGATAAGTCTTAGAGGCGAGTGAGGAATAAAATGGATGTAAACATTTACATGGGATGCATTAGAATTCTGCTGTGTGTATTGTCTTTTGGTTGAAACAAATTATGAACAGTGACTAATAATAAAAAGTCAATACTCAATGATTTAAAATCTGCTTCCTTGCTTCTTATAAATGGATTAGAAGCCTGGGATAAATTCTCATTCCAGAGCTAAAATTACTGACCTGTTCATGTAGTTTTTACACAGAAATCTCACCGAGAAGAATTTGAACAATTTAAACACTTGTAGGTGTTATAGACAGTGAAAAAACAGTAGGTGCAATTAGACTTTTTTTTTTTTTTAATGGCTTTTGTCATAGGGTTCCTATGCTCTCTACGAAGAGACAGAGAGAGGGACAGTGAGGAATCACCCCCTGGGAGGGATGACCATACCACAATTCCTTCTCCTCCATTCTTTCAGGATTTTGGGAATATATACATGTTTATCCAGAGTGATTTTCAAGCTGTTGGGTCTGGGATTTGAACCTTGGTTGGTCATGTGTGAGTCCAGTGCCTTAACCACTCCACCACCTGCAATTAGAAATTTTAACTGTAATATGATTGCATATTACTTAGCCTGTCCACATAGGTGAACTCTCAAAGCAAGGAAACCATATCAAGGTAAAAGATGTATTAAGGGGTGGTCATGGGATTTTAGTCATAAGCTGCTTTGAATTGTTCAGGTATATCTGGGAAGAATAAGACTTGACTCGCCAAAGTGAGTCATACTTCATACATAGTCTATTCTATAGGAGCCATTTTTTACATTCTTATTTGGAGGTTGGAAATGTTAGGTTTTCTATTATTCTGATTCCTGACAGTCCTTGGATTGAGAAGGGAAAGGGTATGATGGTCCGCTGATTGAAAAGTGGCTGGAGGAGCCAGCAGGTGGTGTGGTGGTTAAAGCACCGGACTCCCATTTGCCTAACCACAATTTGAGTCCCAGACATAGTGGTTTGCTTTCTCATTTTCTGTCTCTCTCTGGTCAACCTTAATAATTATTATAATAAATAAATTGAATAAATAATTCTTTTTTAAAAAATGGCTGGGGAAAACAGGTGGCATGGAGATTAAGGCAGCTGAATCCCACATGACTGACTGTGGTTTGAGTCCCAGACCACAGGGCATAAGGGTGCATGTGTGTGTGCCCAAAAACCTGAGAGAAGAATGCAGGGGGTGATTTCTCACTTCTCTCTCTCGGTGTCTCTCTCCAGCAAGTGCATGTGCCCTGGCAGGGTAGAGGCCCAGCAGTTATCTAGTTTGTGCAGAAGTGCCCTTTGGCACTGTTTGACAAACATATATAGCTCAGTTAAAATTCATCTTTATTTATAATACTTAATTGACACCTTCTTCTAGAAGTAATGAGAAAGTATAATAGCTACCTACAGTAGACATTTAGCCAGTAATAGACTCCAGGTATCTACTAAACAATACAAGGAGTAGTATTCAGATTTGAACTACAATCCAGAAGGATCAAAGTAATTTTTTTTTTTTATTTTGAAAGGTTTTCCATGCTGTGCCCCTCCCCCTTCCATTGTACTCATATTCAAAAAATAGAATACTATTCCAGGAAAAAAAATTTCTTCAAACCTTCAAGTCAAGTAAATACTGTCTGTTAATAAACAGCCCAAGAAAAAGGGACATCTCTATCTGCTGAATTTATGGTAGAATTGCAAGGGATTTTGGCCTCAAGATGACTGCTCATTGTAGGAGTGGGAAGTACATATAAATGTGTAAATAGAAAGTCTCACCTGGCTCCCCTACTAAAAGCTGATACACATGAACTAACTTTCTGCAGGCTTCTTTCCTTTCTCTAGTGAAGATCAGGGAGACGTTCCTGGCGTAAAGAATGTCTGTGTGG